CCTCTCCTTCAATATTGTGTTGACAGTCCTGGGTCTTTTATCTTTCCATACAAACTTCAGAATTAGTTTGTCAGTAGCCACAAAATAACTTGCTGGGGATTTTGGTTAAGATTGCATTGAGGGGCCTCTCCAATGGCACAGCACTACAAAGCTAGCCGCAGCCACATCAGCACAAGTTCGATCCCCGGCCAGGGAGCGACCCACATGGTGCAGCGGATCTCTCCTGTCTCGCCTGCCGCTCCCCTCAGCAATGTGTTTCAGTCAGTCTGCCTCTTTTGCTCCCTACTCTGTCTCTGGTGAATCCTCTCACCACCCCTGCACTTAAATATGCATAAATAAATGTTTAAAAAAAAATTTTTTTTTAAAGATTTATTTATTCATACAGAACTGGGGTACAGGCCAGAGATGCGGAGGGCGGAGGGTGAGAGGATTCACCAGAGACAGAGTGGGGAGCAGAACAGGCAGATCTACGAAGTACACTGCTGAGGGGAGCAGCAGGCGGGTCAGGAGAGATCTGCCACGCCATGTGGATCTCCTCTGGGGCAGGCAGGGATCGAACTCATGCGGAAGTGGCTTAAGCTTCTTAGTGCAGTGCTTTAACCCGCTGCGCCACCAGGGAGGGCCTAAAAAATTTTTTTTTAATACACATAAATTTATATATTACTCTCTGTGCTTTCCCTTGATTATATCACCATATATTTCATATAGTGTTTGGATCTAAAATGCTTCCCTGGTTTCTTTTTTATAGATAGAAGATGGTGAAATTTTTGCAAGTATTAATCAGAAGGATGGTATGGTCAGTTTCCATGATAACCCTGAAAAATATAATAACCCAGCCATGCTTCATAACATTGATCAAGAGGTAAATATGAACATTGGGCTTTTATTTTCTTGATTGATGTGCTAGATGTTATTTGAAATCTGGACCTTGTGCTCCAGGATGATCTTAGTTTTCAGTGTAGGTAGTTCCCAACTTATGGACATTTTACTTCCTAGAAAGTTAATTTCAGAAAAAAAGCTGTTTAAAACTCACCATATAGTTATAAACATAGATTAGATGTCCTGTCTAGCTCACGAAAGCCTCCTTCAATTCCTAAAGCATCTGAAAGTCCTTGCAGTACAATTTTGTGTAGATTCAGCAACCACTTCCAGTCTTGTTTCTGTGCTAAAATATAGTTTCCAGTTGGGAGGTTAGGAAACAACCTGTCCTGAGGTTCCCTTCAGGCAGTAGCTAAGAGCCACAGAGTGTCATCTCATCCTGTGAGTCATCTCATCCTGAGTGGCACGCTGGAGTCTGAGCCTGAGCTGGGGTTGTGTGTCTGTTTTCTCCTTCTGATAAGGAGAATGAATTAAACTAGACACTAAATCTCAGAAACCTAAAAGAAATTCATTATAGCATAATGTATCTCCACAACCCTTGTTTTGCAACTCTCAGTTTTAAAAAACTCTGAAAACTGAGGCTTTTGTAACTTATCTAATGGTGAATCTTATCTGAAACGATGTGTAATGTTTATCCTACTTGTTTGAACTTTTTTTTAGGTTTTTCAGAAGAAGATATTAATGTATTTGATTTTGGGGTGCTGTGGTACATAGCACTGGAATGTTAGGTGATACACAGTGAACCTGTAGCACCCATGTTAGTAGTCTAGATTAAAAGGATGTAATTGACTTAAACCTGCTCCCTAACCAGAAACATGTCTATCAACACAGATGCTGAAATGCATCGAGTTGGATGAGCGACTGAAGGCCATGGACCAGGAGATAACAGTGAATCCCCAGTTCGTGCAAAAGGTGATTAAGGTGACCCTCCCTAACTAGAAATGGATTAGTTAATGGAGGGATGTTCCCATATCATCAACGTGAACTTGATTTCAGATTAAATGTTTTTATTATTAGAAGTTCTTGAAAACTGTATCACTGAATTTACAGAGAAACTTTTTTAGAGCATTTTCACATGACTTGGAAGTCTGTTTAGGGATACATAGGTGAATTACTGCTTCTCCATTGTATACCTACTGCTTGCCTCTGGGAGGGATTAGGAGTGTTTGTTGGGGGCTGATGGGAAACCCTCGCAAAGGCAAACAAAGTACACTCACTTTCTCCTTTACAGAGCATGGGATCACAAGAAGATGATTCAGGAAACAAACCATCCAGTTACTCTTGAAAATGACATCCATCCTGAGTGAAACTAAAGAAGCTATCACCATGGCCAGTGACAGGAGTTAGGAGGGCAGCAGGGAAGACCAAGACTGTTTCACCTGGACATTAAAACATTACATCTTGTTTTGTTTTGACATCTTCAGTCTTATGTGCTTTCAGAAAACCATTCTCTCTGCAAAGAAAGGAAAAAAATTTAAACTTTAAAATCTGTTGTGGATTTATTTATCCTCAGATTAATGTTGTTATTGCATTAAATCTACATTTTTGTTTTGAACTACTTGAATATTGATGTGTGCTCTATATCACTTTGTCCCTCCAACAAGTTTTTAAAAGAAAATGTCCATTGTGAACAGAAACAGATTTTAGGATTTTTGGGAAAATTTGAATCTAGAATTGTTAAAAAAAAAGGGGGGGGGGGCTAGGAACATCCATAAGGCAGCAGCTGATTCTTAATAAGTAGAATTAATTTATTTAGAATTGTGGATTAAAGAGATAATGTTGGGCTCTTTAACCTTTGGTGTGTGCTACCCTCTTGTAGTGAGAATGGCTTTTTATGACATAGATTCCAGACTTCTCAGGTTTTTCTTCTAGAAGCATGATTAGTTCATCTGTACAGTTGCTTTTTGATTATTCAGGGTCCCTCCTTTTCAGAACTCTGAAATGTGTGGATTAGGATTTGCTGATCTAGCCCAAGAATGATACCTTTGGGAAGTAGGTCAGATTAAACCACATCAGTTTTGGGCCTTGAAGTTTCCCTTATTAGGAACATTCACTTTTAAATGTGTCAAGTTGTTTGTCAACCACCTTTTCATTATTTACAAAAAGAAACACTGAAACCAATTAAAAAGTGGCCCCTAGTAGGAAGCTCTCCCAGTCACTATCTGAGTACCAACTTTGCCCCAGGAAAGCAGCCGCAGCCTTACTATAGATGAGTGGGTGTGGCCATGTTCCAATAAAGCTTTATGGATGAAAGTAAGGAAAGGATTGATGGAATATTGATTATGATTGTACCTCAGCTTTACACCCATCTCTGTGAATTCTATTTTCTGATTTATTGGGGTGGGCGTGGGGGAGAGGCAGACCAGGAAAAAGAGACTCCATGCAGTCTGCTTCCTGTTGAACAACTTACAACTTCATCCTGAAAAGGATGGTTGCAGCAGCTGCAGTAACCCAGGTTGTCTCCCACATTCCGAGAATCAGCCACATAGCCCCAATACCCCCAAGGAATATCAGTCTCTCTTACTCACACAGGTCTCCAACCTACTAAATTCTAATTTCAATCTTCCCTTTGTTCCCCAAGCCTTAAGAGTGGTATCTGCTTCCTGAGGTTACTACCTGGGTGGACTTTTCCCCCCCCTTCAATGCCTGATAATCTGTTATTCATTCTATACAAATAGAAACAACTCTCTTGACAGGAGTTACTTTTGAAAACCTTCATTTAAGATGAGTGTCCTTTGTTACTACCAAGAAGAGAATATAAGACTGCTGCCTCTGAGAGACATGGCCCCTGGTTAGATCTGTGTCTTGTTTTTGAACAGTTTTTACCATGTATGTGCTGAATAGTCTGCTTGCTGAATCTGTGTCATAGTTAAGATAGTCTTCACAGTTTTAAGTCTCAGCAGCAAATTACTTCGTGAATATATTTACTTATGATCAGCCTTCATTGGCCGGGATTAAGAGTGGAAGATAGAATCACAGAGGGATGGAATAGGAAGTAGAGCCTGGCTCACCCCACGACCCCGCGCAAACACAAGTGAGGGCTCTGGAACCAGACCAGTGGATTTCACTAGCCACGTTAGCCCCAGCACCCTCTAAAGAAAAGTTCTGAATATCTGTAATATATTTATTTGATGGTGTCAGAAGATGACAACTTTGCATCCTGGGTGTTTCTGTGGTCCAAGCGGGCTGGTGTTCCTTAGCGGATCTAACAGTTGTCTCGGGACTTCCCGAGTTTGTTTTTCCTAGTAACTACGAGT